GAGCGTACACAGGCAATAACTATCGCAACAGAGCATTATCTTTTATTTTCATCTTCTTATTTATTAATTGACGCATTCAATAATAACACATTCTTAAAATTAAAATGCTCAAAAGGAGTCGTTTGACGTGGATATCTTATAGGATGCTTTTATGCCATAAAGATAAAGAACCTTTTCTCTTTTTATTTATTCTTTATGAAAATAAATTAGACAAGAGAAAAAACACAAATATTTTTTTTTTTTTAATTGATTGAATTAAAAAGAAAAAAAAAACTATTGTATTTGTTTAAGTTTAACTTTTCTCTTTTTATATATTTTTTAATATACAATGTAATAGGGTAATGTTTTAATTTTTATAATGAAATATTATAAGTAATTTTAAATTAACCCAATTCAATAAATCTCCATTGAATATTTAACATTCCTTTTTCTTCGAAATGGAATCCTATTCAAAAGTACCATTGAGCATAAAATATGGAGAAGTTTTAGCCACAAGTTTTTATTATCTCTCTTATATATTATATTATATATAATATATACACAAATTGGAATCTATTAAAAATAACAAAATTATGTGGATTAGATCACTCTTTATTTAGTTAACCTCCCGCATTATTTGATTGTTTTTAATAATTTTTTTAAAAAAATGTGTTATGTGAATATGTTAGCACTCCTCTAAATGTGAACATTTTTCTTAAACAAAAATTGAAATTGTGATTTGATAGGTGTCAAGGACTAAGCCTTTTTACTGGACGCAAACCTCCCTTGTATCCATAAGTAAGGTTCCTCAAATTAATGGAAAAGTGGGCGTTAGCATGGTATAAGCTGGTGTTATTTACTTTTGTGTGTATTGTAAAAGAAAAGTGAATAGTATTATTATAAAATGGGTGCGGCAAATAAATAAGAATAAGGAGGATAGGAGGAAGGTGAAGCTTAACTGCTAAGCTTCGGTGGTATTGAAATTGAGTAGTAAGTTGTAGACGGAGAGGAGAAAAATAAGAAACGAAAGAGCATTGTTTTGGTATGGTTAATAAGGTTATGGTGGTGGAAGGGGAGTTTGAGCATCTTCCAGAAGATGTGATAGCGAATATACTTTCGTTCACCACTCCCCGAGATGCCTGCGTTCTCTCTTTGGTCTCATCCTTCTTCAAATCTGCAGCAGAATCCGACGTCGTATGGGAAAAGTTCCTCCCCTCCGATTACCACGCTATCATTTCCCAATCCTCAAACCCTATCACTTATACTTCCAAAAAGGATCTCTACCTCCAACTATGCCATACACCCCTCCTCATAGACGATGGCAATAAGGTAATTAAATAATTCATTTCTCTCTTATTATTAAATAATAATATAATAAACTTTACATGGAAATGAATGAGCAGAGTTTTAGGCTGGATAAAGTGAACGGGAAAAAATGCTACATGCTCTCAGCTAGGAGTCTCTTCATTGTCTGGGGAGATACTCCTAGGTATTGGAGGTGGACTAACGTTCCAACAGCCAGGTACCTAATTATTCCTTAATTCTGCACTTATTATTATTATATGATGAATGATGATAGAGTAATAAGGTTTGGCGCAGGTTTTGGGAGGTGGCGGAACTTGTTAGTGTGTGTTGGTTGGAAATAAAGGGAGTGGTAAAAAGCAGCATGCTGTCTCCAAACACATTGTACGCGGCCTACCTTGTGTTTAAGCAACGGGATGCTGGGGCGTACGGCTTCGAGAACCAGCCGGTGGAGGTGGAGGTGTCGGTAGGGGCTGCCGGAGGAGGTGGCGGTGGGAGGCGGACGGTTTACTTGGAGGCGGCGACACCGCGGAGGCCGCGTCACCAGATTGTTCCTCGGATATTCAGCCGCGTGCGCTCTCGTTTCCTGGACAGTTTCGATGCGGCGCCGCCTTTGCCGTCGGCGGTGGAGGGGGCTTCGGGAGGTGGAGGTGAGTACCCGAGGGAGAGAGGCGATGGGTGGATGGAGGTGGAGTTGGGTGAGGTGTTGAAGGGCGGCGGAGAGGGAGAGGAGGAGGTGGAGATTGGAGTTTACGAGGTGAAGAGTGGGGAGTGGAAAGGGGGCATTCTTGTCCAAGGAATCGAAATAAGGCCAAAACTCAAAAATTGAAATAACCAGGCGCCACTCCCCACTCTACAATTATCATTTCTACTTTACTTTATTCACCATTTCTTTTCTAACTCTTTATTTTATTAAATGCTACTATTTATTTCAATCTCAATAAAAATACTCGACGCTTTTTTAATCCACAGTTTTTATCGTTCTTTGCTTTTAATTTAACGCCTCCTTTATTAAATTCTTGCCTTCTTAGTGATAGATTTTGTTTTTGTATGGATTTTATTTATATTTCGGTTTATGAATGTATTTGATAAAATTAGTTTATAAATTAGTTAAAAGTTAATTAATTATAATTAGAAATTAAAAAATTGAAGACTTATAATTATTTGATTGAGTTCAAAGCGTTTGGTAAAATTAATTAATAAATTTTTTTATAGAAAATAAACTGATAAATTAGTTAATTAATTTAAAATAATATATTTATTTATTTAATAATGAGAGTGGAATAATTTTTAATTAAAAAAGATAAATTGATTTCAAGTAAATTAGTGAATATGAAAAAGGAAAGAAAAAAAAAAAAAAGAGTCTAAGTTATAAGTTACTTTAATTAATTTATAAATATAAATTATAAATTTTTAAAATAATTCTCTTGCCAAATAATTTTATAAGTTGATTAAAAGTGTTTATAGACTTATGAAATATCTTGTCAGAGCACTTTATATTATAATTCTTATATTTTATTTTATTTTTATGTACTTATATTTTATTTTTTAAATTACACATCTTAAGTAATTATTTTACATAATTAAAAATTATAACAAATGTATGTATATTAAATTTATAATAAATAATTTAAATTTTGGCACAGGATTAATTTTAAATTGAAATATATAGGTAGTTATGAAAAAATAATATATACATATAAAAAAATGGTAATTTGAGATAGATGGTAAAAATATTATTTTGCTAGCTATGAATAGAGTTGTTTGGCCAATGGGCTAAGCTATGAGAAGTGGATCGCTCCACCTTGATCGATTGCACAGTTCTTTTTTATAATTTTATGTATTTAAAAAAAATAAAAATATTAGGCTAAATAAGTTTAATACTTTTAAGCATGAATTTTCACTTGTTTGTTTGACTTAGCTTTTTTTAGCACCAACATAAAAAAGTTGGGCCTTTTGAGTTTATCAAACCAAGTCAATTTTGACTCTTCTAACACATTGATATCCTTGTAAGTGGTAATTTATAAATGTGTCTTTTATTTTAATGATAGAAAGTCTTATTAATGTACAATTAAAAAGTGGGACTCTTTTTCCAAGAATTCTAATGAATGGTATATGACTAAATTTGCAATATCATTCTTTTTTATCTTTGAAAGTTTTTTTAATTAATTTTTTTTAAAAGTTAAAAACATGATTATACACGAACATATATCATTCAAAATTACATTAATAAATTTGTAGACATATTAATAAAATCTTGTTGGGTTGTTGACACCAAAATCTTAAGATATTAAGATGGTGAAACTCTCTTCAATGGTGGTGACCTATTTGTATTATAGTTGACATTGATCAATATTCAAATTAATAGTGAATTAATTACACAAGTGAATTTGATATTATATCATAATCTAAAACCTTAAGGTATTAGGTTGATGGTCTTTCTCACTTATATATTACTTAACATGCTCAACTTTAACTGATGTAAGACTCATTTCACGCTTAAACTCTATCAAATCTATGGATACTTATAATTAAAAATGTTGAAAATAGATCAAATTTATTAAATCAATTCATTGAGTGTGCCAAAACTGGACCTAGGAGCAAAGGTTCTGTCATGGATGTATCTCATGATAATGTTTGATGTTGGTTATAACATGAGCAATGCGAAACTTCAAATAATAAAATGCACAATGCATTTGTTTGATTAACTAACTCACCATTATGGCCTTTTTAACCTGTGGATCAATTGCATGTCAACACAAAAACAACATTAGTGAAACCACGAAGAAAGCAATGAAATTTATTCAAAATTAGAAAAGGGAAAATTGCTCAATTAAGATCTTGCTCGTATTCGACAATCACAAAAACAATAATAAAAAGGGAGAAGGAAAATGGGAGAGAGATGAAAAAAATTACAAGGAAGATGAAAATAATTGAAAAGTTTCATTGATCAAATTATTAGTAAAAAAAATGTATCACATAGTTATATAAAAGATATAAATTTAACTATCAATAAATTTAAATTTGGTACATATAGTATTGTTTACATCGTCTTAATTATTATATTTCTTAACAAGGTTTTGTTATTTTTTTTAAACAAAGTTTGAAAACCACCACTTTTGTTTTGCCAAAAAAAAAAAAAAAAACTCTTTAAGAGCTATTATTAGAGAGCAAGGAGGGTAGAAATAATTGAAAAAATTAATTGATCAAAATATTAGTAAAGAAAGTACATCTTATAGTTGCATAAAAGAGATGAATCTAACTGATCAATAATTTTAGTACACTACAGATTACTTACAAGCATTGTTCATCATTTATATCGTCCCAATTATTATATTCCTTTACAAGATTTTGTTAAATTATTTTTTGAAACAAAACTACTATAGAATAAAAGCATTTATTCTTGTTTTTTAATTTTCTAAATAAAATTAACGGGATTGTATTAAAAATTTAGAGAAAGACTTTTGTTCCCGGATAATCTTAACTCAAAATAGTCTGAAAATAACTATTTTAAAGAGAAAAATTAAATATATTTCTCGCATTATAATTACGTCTTTCGGTTTTAAATTGAGAGCAATCATTAGGAAAACGAGGATTTCAAAATTCACAATTCCTGAAAGCTATATATTTAAAAATAAAAAGGTTTAAATATATTTTTTCTTTTTTATCACGTTGGTAGATAGTATTTTGTACAGGGATAATAATTAATAAGTTTCTCTTATTATAAAGAAAATAAATAAATTAATAATATAAAAGAGTTGTGTGAAGTAGGACGAGAAACAGAAAAAAAAAAAAAAAAAAAAAAAAAA